GATGGCTGGTGATATTTACATTCCTGATCTTCCCATTGCTGCTATAATGCATTATGTTGGATTAATGATATTTTTTTGTTGTTTATTGGGAGATGTTATGGCAGATCTATTAAGAGCAGGAGCCTTGGAGGTGGATTGTATGTGTTCAAATTCTAGCTCTGCACTTTCCTGGACTACTGGAGTTCTAGACCTATCTAAAATGACCTCTCCATAGACAGCTTCCTCACTGCAAAGCATCCTAAGCTAAATTTAGGATATCCTCTCAACTCTACCCCTGCTCTTAACCTTCAAGGTTTCTCCATTTCAGAAAATGACCCGTCAACTACCTTGGAGAAACATCTAAATCACCTTCAAAACCCACCCTAAATCCTCTCCCTCCATACCACTGTTCTGGCCACGACCATTTCCTGTTTGCTCTTTGCTACGGTACTGTCAAAAGAGCTTGTCCCCAGTCACTTTCATTCCATTCAGGCCCCCTCTTCCTCCACTCTTCTCAGGGGTCCATGGTCTTTGCCCTCCTGCTCTCAGTGCAGCAATTTTACTTCAGCAGCTCCTCCTTAAATGTCAGTTCCCTCAGGGAAGCATTTTCCAAGCCCTCAAATCAGATTCAGCCTTGTGACCTCACCAACCTTTACAGACAGTATGGGCCACCAGTGTTATTGGCACAAATGTCTGCTTTTCTCCTCTGAGCAACTCATCCCTTCCACAAGCACCGTGTGCTCTCCGAGAAGGTCTGATTACAGAGTTGCCTGCTTCCTGTGCACTGTTTGTATCTAGTGCAGTGTCTGCCTCCCAGAAACTGTGCCGAGGAGAGAGCCAGGCTCCCTGCTTGCTTGGAGATGATGAGTCTGGACGGCCTTGAAGAAACTTTCCTTCCATGCCTGTCACTTCCACCAGAAAATGAGATCAGGGGCCTGAAATTTATAGACAAAGTGGCCAAGAAGCTAAGATGACCAAAAGCTCTGATCTAAGCTCCAAGGTCTGCCAATGGCTTGTCCCAGATCTGTGATCTGGGACCCACGATGAAGTCCAGCCTGCAGCTAGCTAGCCACCTCCCTAGGTAGTCTGCGGTTAGGTGTTTTAGGTGAGTTTGGCATTGTTCTGTGGAAGAACACCCAAGAAAAACAAGGAGTAGGTCTGACCACAGGAGCTCACAATTCTAAATGTCAAAATCAATTACACTGCTTTAAGACTTAATTGGACTTGCCTTAGCTCCATATATGGGGTTCTCTGGTTCTACAAACTAGTTCCTTTCTTTGCTGGGTCTTAACTTACCTGAGGGGCACACATGCATGCTAGTTTCAGGAAAATAAATTGAAACATCTATGTAGTAGTTGCTCGAGTCAGAAACTTACAAAATCATCCTTGCTTCCTCCCACCATCTAGGATCTCATGTGTAAAACATCAGTACAAATGTCCAATTATTTCCCCAAAATGTATCCTGAGTTCATGTATTTCTCCCTTCTCCACTGTCATCTCCCTGGAACATGCCACCATTACTGCTTACCACGGTCTCAAATGGCCCCATAACCAGCTTCTCTCCCTCATGGCAGAAATGGGAAAACTGAAATACACGTAAATCCTTACCTTCTCATCTCATCACATCCAAAACCAAATCCAAGGTTCCAAAGGTGTGACCTTGACCTACATATCAAACCTCTACCTCTATTCTCTTCAGTTTCAGCAAGCAGGGTTGTGTCATCCGCCTAACGCAGGTTGTTGATAAATCGTCCACCAATCTTGACCCCACATTTCTCCTCATAGA